GGGAAGCGTGCTTGTTAATAGTCCAGTGCTCTACAACCTGCTCTTGTGCGTTGAATACAACATCCATTTTAAAAGCTAAAGAGCACCATTTTAGTCTGGCAGTGCTAGTGTACGTGAGAGGGAAAAGAAGATGTCGGCACCAAGAAATGGTGCATTGAGGATACAGTACACAGACTGAACAAACGTAGGTTCAATTTAGGGCCTGTGCTTATAAGGGCTGTGGTTAAAAAAGCTGGCACAGGACCCTGCAGAGCATGGAGGACACATTTCTCCAAATCTCTTCTATCCCTAGTGTAAGGGCTTCTCTGGTTTTGAATATCTTCATGGCTGCTGAATTAAGCAGTGACTGTTATAAAATCTTTAGCTGCCACTTAGCAGAATAAAGTCACTGTCGGCTCATGTCTCCCTTCCTCACAAGGGCTTCAGACACAAGAAGGGCTGTGCAGCCCTTCTCTAAAGACAAAGCATTTCTCATGTCTATCAGTGCATTGAAAGCTTTCTCATTCACACTTATGTTAACGTTCTTATCCTGGGAAGGTTAAAGTTCACCAGTTTCCCAAGAAGTTTCTTCGTGGACTGTTTTGAGCTTAAAGTTTCCGAACAATTCTTCTTTAGATGCAGCTGTTGAGCATTTGTGCCCTTGCAAAGTGGAAGGGAATGTACCAAATCCCGCACGTTCTCCCTGCATTCAGTGTGTTATCTCATGTCTGCAACCCCCTTCCCGAGAGGCATCCCATCATGTTGCAAAACAAGCAGTGGCACTGCGTACACAATATAATTTGTCCTTTTGTATAAGAATTTTCCATTGCAAATATCGATCTGACCACCACCCAATGCTAGCTTGTTTAGACTGAGTCTGGGATTGAACAATCACAAAAATACTTAGCGTGCCAGAAGGGTTTTCAGTTTGTGACATCAAAGTGCTTTACAAACTCCCCATGATGAATAGTGAAACTGATTTATGATGTATGGCTTTGGAGAAGTCATACCTTTGCTTCATGAAGTCAGTCACTTTTTTATTAAAAGGTTTAGCCTGGGCTCTTTGAACAGTCCAAGTGTGTAATCCCACACTCAGGAAATTTCATTCAAGTTTAGGCTAGAATTTCTTTACGTATACTGTGTGACCATTTACCCTGGGGCAGGGGCTGCAGTAAATGCCAGAATTTCAGAGAGAATTTAAGTGAAAGCACCACTGGTGGAGTCACAAGTCATTCAGCATTGCACCACTTAACACACTGGTTACTTCTCCGTATGTCTGCCCTTGATTTGGTGGTTTAGTTGATGTGTTGTTGATTTAGTTGAGGGCAGCAAAGCTGGGATTTTATGTGCTGTTTTACGTTTTCAAATCTGTACAAAACTGGCTCTTTTAGATCTGTTAAGTAAAATTCCTTCTGATTTCAAAGAACTTCTTAGGATGTATCTGTTCCCTTTTCACCTCCACCCGGTCGTTGTTTTTGTACCTTCTTTATCCTCAAAATGATATGTGGAAACTCCTAGCTATAAACCGGTAGCTACATTCTAAGCCCAGTTCTGTTCACCTGGTGGTTTTGAAGGCTTTTATCTTTCCTCTGAGAAATTTTAGGGATGTCAAGTCGGATTTCTCCTGCTTTTTCTGGAAGGTCTCTGATTTCTGATAGTTTTATATCTAAAAGCAAGATTTAGTCCGTGCTTTCGGTCAGAATCCACCATCACAGTCAGTCTGCCTTTTGGGCCCTTGTGTAAGACAGAGATGCCTCAGCCACATGGCACACAGCAGTGATCGCCTGTAAACGTGCTCTTAATGTTGCACCACGTGGCTTTGCGCCAGATCAGGTGTCAGCTGTCCTTTAGCAGCTGGTAGAGGACAGGATAAAGCACTGTACTGTGTGCACCGGCTAATTTGATAGGAATATGATTATCTGGCCCTTCTAGCAACAGATCGGATCTGCACTGTGCATGATCCAGGAGTGCACAAATCTGGAGATAACAGTGGCTCTGAGCTTCCTTCATCCAAAATGTGAGTTGGCCACTGAAATTAGATAATTGCGAACAAAGAATAGATAGTGACTGTTTGATGAAAAGTTCTTTGCCCTCTCAGCTTTCTCTGAGTAGATGAGGTGTTGTCATTTTGTTAATAACCTAGTCACAGGCAGAACACTGATTCCTATTACTCTTCCGAAATCTAGATACTCCACACAAGTATCCTTTCCCCTACAAAAAACAGACCATCAGGCCCTGCAGGCCCCTAGCAACTATTTACCTTCCAGAAGCCCAATGTGACCTAGCATCACAACTTTATCTCCTTCCTTTTCCTGAGAACCAAACCCCCAACTATTCTCTCTCGTTTAGCCTTAACCACAGTGAGCATGCTCAACACCACCCAGCTACACTATAAAAACACCTGTAATGGGTACTGTCATTAATTTAGGAAGTTGGTGGAAGCTGCTGGTAGTGACTGACCCTAGGGCTGGTTTTAGTTTTGTTGTGTAACAGCCAACTCTGCTTTATTTCAGAGGTTTGGTTACCTGCTTGTGCTCATAACCCCATGGCAGCAAGGAAACATGGATCTCAGGGTGAAGGCCAAGCTAAGGGCACCTTTCTGCTCTCCTTGCTTACTAGGAATAAGTGAAGTTTGTGTTTGAGGACACATGAAGTACTGGTGGATCTGTGGCTGGTAACTGCCCTTGCTTTTAATGTCCCAGCCCTGCAAGCAGGAGAACAGCAAAGCAAGGGAAAAGAGGTGGTATAGAGCAGCAGAGGCTGCTTTTCAGGCCTTTACAATTTGTCCTGTGCTCTGCAGAGTTGTTGCCAGTCTGCACTGAAGGTTAATAGTGACCTTTCAGGGCAGCAGACTGTTTGTACAGTATTGATGTAGAGTCCCCTGGGTTTCCTAAGCCTGCACAGTTAAGCCAGGTAGCAGTGATACAGCCAAGAGGTTATGTAGTACCAGAGAAGAAAGTGTATTAGTTATCTGCCAGTTCTTAGGTTAGATGTTTCTTAATGCCCAGCCAGGCTCCTACTAGGTACAACCTGATGCCTGGCTTGTAATGAATCTCTTCTTGGCATCTGTGTGCTTCCACTTAAACTACATTCAGTAATCAGTGAGGTCTGAGCTGTAATCAGGAGTCTCTACCAAGAAAATTACCTCTGGAAAGAAGACTCAGACCTTGAATGCACCTCTTGAAGAAGCAAGACGAGAAGGAATCCAAGGTAAGAGTTGCTACTGTTCATGTCTTATGTATATGATATGTCAGTACTTCGGCTGAAGTATACTGGGGTTATTCATAATACAGAGTTCAAGCCACAGTCCTCAAGGAGTTGTCAAACACTTCAAACCTTGGACAGCTGCTGTGCTCCTGTTATTGCCAACTGCCTAGTTGTAAAAGGGTTTATTTCTTCATTTTAGTTTACTAGTAAAAAATGCTAGAAGCTGCCTGTAGCAATGGACCCGTGAGCTTGGCAGGAGGTCCTTAACTTATGGTTAAATACTGGTTGTGTTAGCTGTCCTAGAGCTGAGTCATCTGGATCTCTCTGTTTCTAGTCTGACATTACTTTGTTTGGCCAAGTCTTACTACTGGCTTGTGGGCTCTTAATGCCGTATGTGGTAGCTGAAATCTGTTCTGTGCAGAGATCGGCCTCACGCTGCTTTTGTAGACATTCTCTAATTACATACGGTTTTTGTTGGTCAAATGTTATTTTTAAACAGATTTTCTTGTTCTTCTCCTTAATTAATAATAACACGGTCAAAGAGAATAATCTGCATTTCTGAGTCTGGTTTAAGGGTACTTTTGGATAAGATTGCCTACTTCCAACCTTTTAATTCCTTTTGTGGTTAAAGGAATAATAGAACAGATTACCACTATACTTTTCCATAGCAATCTCATGGTCATGCTCCTTAAATCCAAAATCCATCTAGAAGAGCAACAGGTATCAACTTCAATCCCTTTCTATTCTGCTGTGGTTTGTGAGGGAAGTGACTCCTAATCTTTCTTGAAGCTCATATTTAATGGCTAGATAATACCTGTTTCTTATGGCCTAGTCAGAATTTCAAGAGTTAACAGTTACAGGTCTGAAATTGTTCAGCGTGAAATACTTGTCTTCTGTAGTGCAAACTGAAGTCCTGCAGTACTAAGTCAAAAACAGACCAGTCACTTTACTGTAATTTCTCTTAAATCAGTTTGTATATACATACTAGCCACAGGCTAGTAATTAGGTTCTCCCCTTGTGGAGCAGCTGGCAAATGCATGTTCCTTGCTTTCTGGGAACAGCTTCTTGTGTGTGAGCCCACCCAGAGCCAGAGCACTATCAGTGTCAATAAAGGGGTGGTCTGCTTGTTGTGAGTGTGCTATGAAATAGGAGTTGATAAACACACAAATTTGTTCGCCACTGTTGTTTTGTCCCTGCATGTTGCTTGGCACCTCCTTCCCAGAAAATGGTAGTCAAAGTGAAAGTAGGGGCTTATCTTCAGTGTTTGTTCAAAAAGAATTTCAACCAAAAATGTTGGAGTTTAGTTTAAGGATGCCTCCCACTGGAAAGGGCCCATTCCAATTTCCCATCTTATCTGAAAATGAAATGATTACTTGCATGCTTCAGTTTTGCTGCCAGGGTGTTATCAAACTGGAGAGGAAACATTGTTATTAAGGCAGTAACCTACATTTGACCTCGCTTCTTTTCCTACTGACTGGGTGGATGACACCTAAAATGTCAGTGTACTTGGAGGGTGTGGGTATTTCTTGATATCTCTGTTCTATTTCTGACAAGTGCTGCCACACTGATAGGGCAAACTGCCTAGATATGGCTTGGTAACTACTTATCAGACAAACTCTTCAATGTAATGCAGAGGAATCATGAGAAAACATTGCTGCTGCGTTTTCATTTCCTGAATGGCATGTGGGACCCAAATGCTGTGACACTGGGTAGATTTTGAAATATTTATAGCCTCTTGCCTTACAACAGTATTTACTTGACAGAAGAAGAGATAGGTAGAAAGAAAACCAGTTTCCCAGGTTTAACAGCAAAAATACAAAATTACTTGATGGGGTAGAAACAGCAGTCACCATTCCACTAGCTGTCGGTTAGCGATGTAGACCATGTGGTACACGTAAGCAAAGCTGATCTGTAACAGGATTTCAGGGTAACCAGGACTAGGTGCTGCAGTGTCTCGTGTGAGGCTGTCTGGGCCCACAGAGAAGCGAGGAGTCTTAGCAAAATCCATGTGTTGCACATAATTAGAGGAGATGCATCTCGATAGTCTATTTTTTTCTCTTTAATTAAGATAACCTACAAAATATCTACCTAAATTTAGTTAAGTATTTGTTGTTTTATTACAGTTATCTCTGTGGAAAACCAAGTGTTCAAGAAGCAAATACATTAAATCTCTCATACTTTAGATTTCCTCTCATGCTGTACATAACAAGCGATGTTGCAGTTGTCTCTGACAGCTTCCATTTACAGTGCGGTGGCGCAGTTGAAGGCTCTTGTGGACCATCTTTCTATCACTGTTCAATTCAGATGTCACGGAAACCTGTTGTTAACATCTTCAGCCTGAAAGAGCACTGCTGTTCATATAACTTAGTGCTTTAATTGAGTTCAAGTTCCTGCAGTTTCTCTGAGCCTGTGTTAATATGAGGTACTAGGAGCCCTTCAGAACTGATACAGGTGTGCTGCTTAATAACTTGGGGAAATGCAGGAAGGACAAATGTGCCTGTGCAATGGACTGCAGGGAACTAAAGAAAAAGGGCCTGCAGCAACTTCTATTCCATTCCTGAAGCGAGGAATTAGAATAAGGTACTGCAAATGCCTCTGACCTTCATTCTGTTTCACTGCATGAATAATTGCATATGGCTTTTTCTTCTGTCTAGATTTCTCTTTGTTTTTCCTGCTGTGTCTTAGCTAACAGGTCCTCCCCGCTCCATGCCTTTTGGGTAGCAATTTGATTCGTTTTCTTTGTCTCAGTTCAGTTTTAAGACCTGAAACCTCATCAAACAAGGTCATTCTGCCCCTAGAAATAGTGCACTCTGCTTCAGATTAAATCACTGGTTTGTTTTTTTTTTTTTAAACCATCTCAAAATACTGAAAAGGAAGGAGTGGCAGAAAGTATCTGCCGATCCCTTGGTAAGTGATGGCAGGTGGAAATGTTCTTAAATACTAAACTAGAAAGACTGATAGAGCTGAAATCTGTGAAATACAGTGAAGCTGCACAGTGTGACATCTCTGAAGAGGGTTTGTTGAAGAACAAGCGCATTAGTAGTGCCTGGACAAGAGCCAGCACATGTCTATGCCAGCAATCCCAGAGGGGCAGAGGCTGTAGATAGTTACAGACAGAAGAGCCTGTGGGCAGATGAGGAGGAGAGGATCAGCCGGGTGGATGGAGGGGTTGAGAGGAGAAGGCCCTGGTGACATGGGTATGCAGATTGCATGAGGAGGTAACTAGCACTTCTCTCTGGTGCTCAGAGGAGAGGGATCAGGACAGTACAGCACTGCTGGAGGCTTTACTTATTTGTTGCTTTTGCTGGGGTTTTTTTGAACATGAAAAATCCCAGGGAGGTGTCAGGGAAACCATCCAACCAAAGCAAAAGCAAGCCTTAGGCTCATCATCTGTCCTTATTTTGCTGCCTCAGAATCCAGTGCAAAGCAGAGGCATGGATAGCTTGGATATCATTATATTAGGAGATGGCCATGACGGGGAGTGCCTTATGTTTTCTTACTACTGATGAGTGTTGGTCCTCTCTAGCTGCATTCGTGGTATTTTCTATTTTCATCAGTGATGCTGATAAAATACAGTGGAGGGTTCCCCACCTTTCTCCCTGCTTACCGACATGCTGTAAGGGGAACTTGAAAGAGGGCTGTTAAAAGAAACCTAAGAGAGCTTCCTCCTAGTTTTGTACAGCTAAGACCTTGCGACATCAAAGCTATCTTGCTTTCTGAGTGTGCTTTCCACTCCACGGTCAAAAATGCTTGCATAGCCTGTGCAGTGAGAGGAGGGGATCTTAACAGAGAACATGGCTACTGTGACCGTGAGGGTGGCTCACAGGCTGGCTGGAGGTGGTCCTCCATCTTGGAGAAACAGCACTTGCTTCCTTGATCTTTTTCCTTCAGTGCAGTTAAGTTCTGGGCAGGATTTTCCTCCCAGATTCACCAAGCTTTGCAACACTCATGGCAGGACAGTGTGCTGAAGGTAGGAAGAACCGCGGTAAGAAACGCAAAGGTGAAGGTGAAGACATTTTTTGCAGACTCTGTAGGCCGGGAGGTGCTGGGATGGGGCAGGAGGAAGGAAGAGGAAAGCACGGTCAGTTGGTTATTTGCTGACTGGTGATTGTAGAAGACAGTATTATGAGGTGCCCGTGGTCAGCTGAAGCAGTCCTTGTGTGCTGTTTGTTTTCAGTAATAGAACATTTTTAAAGTCTGAGGGCTGGGGCTTCTTTTCACTAAAGCTTTTCAAGATAAGACCCTGGCACAAAGCCTCGCTGCCCATTCCTTTCTGCTGTCCACCAGCCATCCTCATTTTCTTCAATAACAGCTACAGTGTCTCCTTCACTGATGTCCAGTTCATCCGTGTTCTGAAAGGAAACAGGAAAAGGAAATGTGGTTAGCCTGAGAGCACAGGAGGACCCAAGCATGTATCTGGTGAGGTTTTTTTACTCTGACTTTCATCAGCAGTCTGCCAGTGTCCTCCTGATTGGGAATGAGCCTGAAATACCAGACAGTGAGGGATCAGGCACTTACTGAGCTGGCTATTTCCTTAAGATTGTCAAATTTCCCCAGCCTTCATGGTGTCTCCTCCTGAGCAAGTTGACTGTGGTATCGTTGGGGAAGGCCAGAAAGGGTTAAATACAACTGTTCTAAACCAGCTAACCATGACCCTTCCATAGTCTGCAGGTGTTGCTAAATAAAACGGTGTGCAGCTTAATTCCCAGGGGAGATGATAAAAGTGTCTCTACTAATCCAGGCCTTAAATAGCTCTCAGTTCTTTTAATATGGAACAGCAGTGACCAGTGGCGGTACAGTGACTCTTCCTGAGATAGGTAACTTTTATCACTGAGACAAATGGAGCAGTTGCAAGTAAGCTATTGCTGAGCTCTCAGGCGGCTATCAGTCCATTCGGTGGTGCTGTCCTATTTTCCATAGGAAGCCACTTTGCTACCCACAGTGTAGTAAAATAGAAAACAGGGTAAGAGAGGCTTCCAGATACGTTTGACGCATCAGGTAAATCTAAATTTAATGTACCTGAGTAGGTAAGAATGGACTCAGAAAGTGAGTTTGTATATGTTGTATACAATATACAATATACTGCAAGTAGTAACAGGCTCTTTTCTCAGCAGGGAATATCTCTGTGTGTCGTATTTTTTAGGCAACACCTGGAGTAAGGATCTGACAAAGAGATCCAGCAGTCTCCTTAGGGGAACTGCCATTAACAGTGAGGTACTTTCAGCTGTGGTTTGGATGAAATTTCAGGCAAATAACGGAAGTGTGTTTAAAACAAAGCAAAACAACATATAAGGTGTCAGAATGCTGCTGGACCTAAGAGAACGCACTCTTTTCCAGTCTTTTCTCTGTTTTCATAATTTATTTGGCTATCTGTTTTGTCACATGCCAGCATTTCTACAATGTTGGCTATTGATGGAAAATCACTTGTAAGAGTCTCTCTGCGCTGTAACATATGACCTCCTGGATGCTGCTCCTTCTGCTAACCTAGGGCTAATAAAAGGAACCTTTAAATTGACATGTAATTAAACTGTGAAAGTCCCATTAGGGGAGGCTGATGGTTTACCAAGAGTCCAAGAGGTCCTAGAGTCCATCTGAATAAGGCAATATTCATAACCAGTCCATTCATAACCTCTTACTAATAGTGCTATGCCTACATAGGTCTGAAGCCAGTGAGAGTTCAATATCCCAGTTAAGGATTCAGGTTGCTCTTTATAACAATCTTTTGGCACATGGACCACGTCCACTGTGATTCTGCAACTTGCAGCATGGAAGTACAGGAAAAGAGTGTCATTTATGCAGTTTCAGTTCTCTCCAGCATGGAGGGCCAGTATGTTAAACTGGAACAGGGCCCTCCAGATAAGTGAGATGAAATGGGGAAGAGTTCCTAGATAAACATCTGTCACATATTCTTACACAAGGAATCTATATCCATTTTCTCTAGGAAAACATTTCACAAGAGATGTAAGTTCAGAATGCATAATACTGCATACTTGGCCATCGTCCCCTTAAAAGTTTTCCTTGTGTTTGTGGTCTCCTGTATTTCTAGAAGGAGGTTGTAACAGTTCAGCACTAATTAAGCAAAAAATTGCATTGTTTCATCTTGAGGCAGCATGGTCTAGTGATGAGCGCCAAGAACTGGCAGTTGGGATTCCTGGCTTCGGTTCTGCTTGTGACCTTGACCAATAACCCTTTAAGTGTCCCTGGCTGCATAGAGAAGATAACACCTCCTTCACAGAATTAACACTTTCAAGATGTTTGGATCAACATAATCTATTTTAAATCTGACACTATGAAATGTTTATTTTGAAGCCTTTCTTTACCTGGGCTATGTAGTCATAAAGTACTCTGTAGTCCTGTGAAGATGTGATTCCACCTTGTTCATTTACAAAAAGGGATGCATAGACTCCGTCTGCTTTCTCTGCTGTGTGGGGGGGGAAACACCACAGAAACAAGTTCAGTTGCTTATAAATGCATGGGATCATATGCAAGAGTTCACAAATACAAGGGTTTCTGTTCTCTCTCTGTCTGGAGATGTACATGTTTAGAAAAGCTGCTGTGAGCTGTAGGTATAGTCTTGCACAAAAACTGTGTCCGATTGATTAGATGACAATACACCAAATGAACTTTGTGGGAGGTCAGAAACTAGCTTTAGCCTCATCTGGGTTGGGAAACATGTTTGCCCTGCTAAAGCACAAACCAAATTGTCCAAAGAGGGAAATGCTGTGATTAAAGTGGTTTAAAATGGTTGCTAGTGGTGATATAAAATTCTAGCGGTTCAGTGCTTCACATAGGGCTTCTCTTTTTCCCCTGAGAAAAATGGAAAATCTTGTACCGATGGGTCACCAGACACTTTCCGGTAGTTTACATAGTTCCCAGAGAGCTATTTGTCACTGCCATTAACTTTTTTGGCAGATGGTGTTTTAATCCAGCTTGTCATAATTAAGGAAATCTCTTATTCCTTCCCAGCATCTGCCTGGGAGCTTCCCTTGCCATTAAGGCGAGCAGAAATTTCCCACAAATGACTCCTCGGTGGGATGACAGCACTCTCAGAGCACACAGAGCAGCCGGGGTGCCTGCACCTTCCCCCCAGTCAGTCCTTGGTTTGGTTGTCCTGCTCTTAGGGAGCACTGTCAGCTCCTTGACTTTTCAGATTTTGAAAGACGAGCATGGGAGCAGTTGAAAGAGCTGAACGCAGAAAGTGTTTGCCATTCCCGAGGGTCTTGTCCAGGGAATGCCCTCCCCTTCTGTCCCCAGCCTAAGGAAATTCAGGAGTGACTACACTCAAGTGCTCAGCGCTGCATTGCTCTCCATGTGCCTGAGCGGGTGCCTGGCAGGTCCAGCTGCTGTTTGAGAGCACTGGAGAGTGTCCCCTGGCTGAGCACCAAATGCAACAAATACAATAGTCTGGGCTTAGTTTCTGGGTGCCCAAGCAGGCAGGCCTGACAAAGGACATTGATTTGGGTATATTTTAAAGCTGTTCTAAAACAGCTTTTTATTTTCTTTAGGCAAGGATCACAGTTAAAATGTTTTTGTTTTAAATCAAACCGATAAAAATGTCGTAACCTGTTACTTTCTGCATAGTCAAAATACTCTGTTTTAAATGTCTTCTGATAAACACCTAGTTGCAAGGGTTACAACAAGACAGTGTAGCTGTGAAATTAGATGGATATTTGCATTAATGAGGCATGAACCTGGTCTGTTAAAAGCTTTAGGTGTTCTCTTGGGTTTTTTAGAGGTAGTGTGTTCTACCTTAGGAGAAAATTATTATCGAAATCACACTGTGTTGTTCCGAATGTACAGTTTCCCCTTGCTTAGACAGAGGTTTTGATTGTATGGATTATTTGGCACTTTAAACTGGGAAATTTGTTTAATGCACATCCAAGCTAAATTCATTTTCAGACTACTCTTGGCTGCCAACATGTGAATATCTCCTGTACCATTTCTGCTCTGTGTCGAAGCTTGATTTAGCAATGTGATCTAAAACAAACACATCTGGCAAACTTATTTCCTGAAGAGGCATACCAAGAGGAGGGGCTGAAGGAGTGACACTTTCCGTGTTGTTTTTGCTGCTTCCGTGCAGTAGTCCAGAGAATCTGCAGAACCAAGAGAAGTCAATGACAAAATGAGTGAGCAGGACTACATACGAACATTTCTTCATCTCAGCTGTTTGACTCAACCTTCCCTCCATCTGCTGCAGGACTGAGTAGATGTCACCTCTTCCTGTGGCCATCTATTTTCATTTATGCTGTAGATATACTTATCTTCAGTTAAAAATATATTTTATAAAATGCAGCAGAATGCTGAACCATCAGCCACCACTAAATTGTGCATAAAATGTATCAGATAATATTTTGTTGTTGATTCAAAGGGTCATGGTGCAAAACTCCAGTGATTTCACAACATTAATATGATGAGAAATCTCAGTTGTTTATAAGAGATTACCATCTCTTTGTCTTTAAGGAAAACTCTGATACAATTTAAAATATAAAGCTTGTATAACAAACCTTTCTAAAACTGAATTTAAGTGAAATTCTTTTGGGTTTGGTGGTTGGGTTTTTTTTTAATCTATTCCTAGTTATTTTCTATATCACAGCTGGGTACTGGAGACTAAGTAAAGTGAGAAAATGGGTTAGGATTCTCAAGCATAGATAGAAATAGCATTGCATGCTTAAGGCATATTTAAAGGGTCTGGTTTTTAAGCTGGTGAACGCTCAGTATTTCTGGAAAATGGATATCCAAACTCAACTGTTTCTGAAAACCTCAGACTGAGTCTCTGTAGGCTACTTGCCCAGACAGAACACGGCTGTATTCTAAACGGCAGTACAGTTGTCTTCTGTACCTGTATAGGATGCAGCATTAGAATTCATTATTGTTATAGAAGATCTGTTTTCCAACTGAAAAACAAAGTATTGTATATAAACCTTATCAGCTCACTAACAAGCTTGGACCACATTTTAAATGGGAGATCACAGCCCACTCCTTGTCTTTGCTGTGTAATAAGGCTTGTCAAAACAGAAAGCTCTTCCGCTTTAAATATGATGCCGTTCCCACTGTGAATTAGCCATTTTGGTATAAAATATTTAAACCAATAGATCTACCATGCTCTTCTGCTGGTATAACTGCATCCATGTTACAGCATTTACCAGCATAAGTGGATCAGAAGAAGAAAAATTGCCTCCCTAATCATCACAGTTCTTCTGCTAAGTGTTTTTCCCTTTGGTCTAGATACAGAGAGCAGCTCTTTGTTCTGCTCAGCTGGGCAGTGCAGTAAGCCAGGAGGTATTGCTGAAAAAGACAGCTCTCCCCAGCCTTCGCTCCCAGCAAGATTCACCTTTGCCCTCCCTTGAACAAAGTGTTTTTGTTGCTATGTGCCATGACTCACTAGGAAAGAGGAAATAAGTGACTGCTATCCATTACTGGCAAACTAATTGTTTTATGAACTCATCCCCTGTCTCTCTTCCCACTAGGCCCTGGCAAAATTACTGTGACTCTGGTTTTAATAGGTTTACTTCTGTCAAGTTATATTTATTGATATGTAACTGTCTCTTGCTACGATGAAGGAAGTAATAACTTTCCAGGTCCTGTTTCCTGTCATCGTACATTGCCGTTCATATGAAGAAATACCTACTCTGGGAACTGAAGTTTGCCACTCACCTCTTCATCATCCCACACGACTGGGTTGGGCTGCTGTTGCTTCTGTTTGTTTCTCTGGTGTAGTAGTTCTCATATCCTATTGCATCTGCAACAGGGCAATAAAAATGAGGTGTTCAGACAGGCAAAACTTCTTTCTCCCCACCAGAATGCAGCCAACCGTTGCAACCACCAGGGGTTGCTGGAGCAAACTGCAGTACACCCATCTGCACTCGCCTGCAGTGTGGCTGGAGCATCTCAGGGGGACCTGGGGACTTGACAAAAGCAACTCAAGTGATTGTAAGCAGGTATGTCCTTAGTAGAAAGGCAGTGACCTGACAGGAGAACAGTCAAGGTCCTGAAGAGCCATTCAAATAGCTGTGGCTAACCCTAATTGGGAAGGCAGTTTCCTCCATGACTGTTTCCTCTGTTGCCTTAAAGCTCAGGATATAAGGGAACAGAGAATGGTCGCTGTGAGCCTGGGACCATGTTTATGATACAACTGGCTGCAGCGTGTTTCTTTTTTCCTTAATGTATTAAGTCAGGAATTTTTGTCAGAGCTGGGGAGATGTCTGAACATTATTGCCAGCAGTAATAATGAGCAATTTCCTGGTCTCTGCTTGTGCTCGAGTGTTACCTTTCATATCTCCCCCATCCACCTTCTGAGAGCTGATTTGCTGTTTACCCAGAGATATTTGTTTTTTGTTCTCTCAAACACAGTTGTGTTACAGTTCCTTCACTCTCCCCTATGGTGTCGTTAAGGCTGAAATTGCGACCATTTCCAAGTCTAGCTTTACAGATGAAATAGTTACAGATGTATTTATTTATTTTTCATCTCATAGCTCCCAGTGTAGTTGTTTAGAGCCAGTGGCCACACACCCTTTCTGCTTTCTCTGTTTTAAAGCCAAACATGAGTGAAGTCTGAGATACTGTATTATCTCAGTTCTGATACCAAATTAGGAAAGACTTTGGACTTGGGCTAAAGGTTGTGTTGATGTTCTCACAATGAGTCAGCCAAGATCATAAGCAGAGCAGGCATGTACAACTATTAAGTGTGAAGAATCCCTACAAACAAGAGTCATGGTAATTAGGGAGTTTTCTGACCAATTTAAAGGTCTCCTACTACCCTTTTAGATTGTTACCTTGGTATAGTTTCTAGTCTATAATGCATTGTAAGGTTAGGTAGAAGAGGGGAGTGAGCAATAGCATCAAGAAACCGAAAGGTTTGGTCAGGTTGAAGGTCTTCTGTTACACAGTGCAAAACCACACGTGGATTTCTTCCTGCGTTTTGCAAATAATAAAACAGATCAACAGCTCACCATGTGCTACTCTGCAAACTCATTAGCCAGAGCTGTGGAGATACTAGGATGTTTCTTGCAGAACATGTCACCTTCTAGAAGGTGGCAAAAAAGAAACAAAAAAGCAAGTCAGTTGTTTCTTCGCCTTTCATAAAGCTCTCAAGGGTTTTTCCCACCTATTTCTTATTAGAAATGAGTCCTGACATAGCCAAGAGCTGTTTGCAGAAAATTGCCTAGGAGACGGGAGAATGAGAAATCTCACATAGGAAAAAAAACCCTAGCTGAGAATTAAAGATTTCTTAGTATACAGAGTTGTTTCACACTGTTGCAAGGCACAGTTCTCCCTTCTGCCAGTGAAAATGTAGCTTTTCCTTGGTAAATGCTCCTATATTGGTGAATTTAAATCCCCTCTATGAAGAAGAATAAACTATAGCAGCAAAATGGCATCCAGTGCAACAGTATCAATATATTAGTTTTAAAAAAATTCTCCAAATCCCAGTTCTTAATCATCATAGGTGTAAAGACAGAAAGGCTGAGTGAAAAACAGGCCTCAGATAGCTCGGTGCTGAGCTAGTGGCAGCATCCACCTCTGTTGAAGAAGATCCCGGGGTGAAATTGCTGCCAGCTCTGAGCTCTGCGATGAAATCAAAGCGGTGTAAGCTGTTTCTGTATGAGATAATTATCGCTTGGGACAGGGTGTTCATACTGCTGATGTTTGTACCTATACAACTCCTGGCGTGGAAGGTTTTTATCAGTATAAAATTTTCTTGTGCCAGTATAGCTTATTCCCCACTCTGAATGGAAGTAAGCTCTATCGATACTGCTGAGGGCATACTAAGGGGATTTTCTCTTTGACATAGCAGTAGGGTGTTAGAGCAGATAGTGGAAGTGAAACAGTATCTGTGCACAGATTTTTTAAAAAATGGAGGAAAAGATCTTTCCAGCGTAGATATATATCATCAGCTAATGAAGAGATGAGAGAGGGATTTTTCTCTCCTACAAAGGCTGTGAATCTTTGATTACTGCAGCAGCTGCACGGAAGTGCAAGCATTCACTCAGTCTGTAAATACCTTGTGTTGCTTGTTGAAGTAAGAGGGTATGGTTTGTACTTGGCTGTGTGAAACATTAGATAGCCTCCTTTCTGGTGATGTGTTCGGAGAACTCCTACCTTGGAGCAGCATGTTTTCATTTTACAACTGCTCCTAGCTCTTGCTGTTTCAGTCTCCGTTTCAGCCCAGAGGTTTTGATCATGGAAGTCGATGAAAAGGCTGCTTTGGCCTGAATGGACAGAGTCTGTGAACCTTAGATTGCTTCTGCATGCTGGGGCAAAGCCAATTTCATTCAGAATTTCACCCAACTAAAGTCTTGCCCTTACACAGACAACTTCCTGAGGGGACAAAACATGTTCTTTCCCACTAGGCAGGTGGAACAAAACAGAATACAAAGTCTGGTCTTCTCTGTGCTGCAAATGAAGAGGCAGCATCTCTGTTAAGCGGACACCAGGGTGCACTTACACAATAAGTTGGCTCTGACTTGTCACTACTGCAGGAAATTGAGGTTGCCATCTCTGCAAGGCAGAGTTTGCCACCTCCTTAGCAGTGTCAGTTCAGCTGTACTGTGAAATTAGCCCGGTTGCAAAGCCAGAACAACTTTTTTTTTTTTTTTTTAAATTTTTTGGAGGGTTATTTTTAACCTGGACATCATGGATTGTTCAGCTATCCCACTTACAGTGCCACACAAGGAGCGATGGCAGCACAGTGAGGGGGAAGTGAGCTGCGGTGGGTGGGCATGAATAGCCAGAGCAGAAGCTCCTCCAGTTGGCTTCACCTCCAAAGGACGTGTACTGCACACCTGCAGCTTCAGCCTAATGGGTGACTCATCTGATAAAACCAATAGGAATAATTACCTGGAGGTTGCGTTCCTGTCATTTTAGTCTTAATGAAGTGGTCTATGTCTGACTCTACAACGCAGTTCTCCAAGCTTACCCGAACCTCTTCATAGAGCTACAAAACAGAATCCAGTAATTTAATTTTTAACATTTCACATTGAATTAATGACTAATGATCTTCTAATAATTTTCCCCATAAGAGACCCTTTATACTTGGTACATGTCTGACTTGGATGGATCTTTGGCTTGTTTACATTCTTGTAAACACAATTGTTTATTTGTTCTCTGGATACTCTTTTAAGAGAGGAGGACGAAGGCAGTCCAGGGCTTTTCAGTGCAGTAAATTAATAGCAGGAAACAGCTATTCAAAGTCAAAACTAGTGTATTCTTTATGTCTTCCAATTTTGAGACCATGACTGGATGCCTTTCTGAAAGATGTGCCCGAGTGCAAATATACTCGACTGAGCATTCGGGTAGCTGCAAGCATTCCCCAGCAAACTGAGGGGAGGAGACCTGTAAGTGTCACCAAATGTGACACAGACTATCTACATCCAGACGTATATCTGGTTTATGTCTAGAGGGAACAAGGTAGATTGATAATGCTGCCCCCTCACAGAACGTGCACATCAGCCAGTTTGCTGGAGGCAATCGGCATGTGCAGAGAAGGGCAAGCTTGCGCTGTATTGCTGGAGAACTCTTGCTCCTTCTCTTCCTCCTCTGCACACAAAGCTACTTGGCAGTGTCCCTACCTCATCATCCTTCACACACTGCATGGAGAGCTGGTTGCAGTGAACCCACAGCGAGTTGCGGAGGATGGTGATGCGGTCGCACTCCTGGAGCTGGAAGACCTAAAGCCAAAGAGGAGATGTGACATACCCTCATGGTAGTTATTTATCTGCATTGCCGGCAGTGACAGGGCTGGGGCTTCTCTGGGCCAAGGTCGTAAGTCTGCAAACTGTCCTGAGGATCCTTTGTAAAGGACATCTTTTTAGCTGCTGGAGAAACTACATCTACTTTTTTGTGCTCAAGAATTTGTTTTAATTGATTGCACCAAATTAAAGTTACATTTTATAGACAAAAATAAAGCAGGCGAGAGGAATCAGGATCTGGATTTGACTGCTACCTCTACTGCCAAGGATTTCAGTCAGGCTCCTGTCTGCCCATCACACTGGAATCTTGATGTTTTACAGATTGGTGGAGTACTGGCATGAAAGGGTTGTATTTATGTTAGAGGTAGAGCCAGAACTATCCATCTCTGCCTTCTAAAATGTCTTTCCAAACTTTTATCTTCTGAAACTATCTGAGGCTCTCTCGAGTTGACTCTGTTCATTTCTACAGTTATTTTCATGGTAAAGAGAAGGCATTTTTCTTTCTTCAGCATTTACTCCCTTCCTTCATCTGTCTGATTTTCTCATGCTGTTGCACAGCTTGGGAAGAGAGAGGAGAAGTGTGAACTGAGGTGGGGGGAGAGGCAGAAAAACTCTTTCTTTAAAAATTAAAAAAAAAAGAAAAACCAAAAAAAAACACAACCAAACCAACCAACGACCCTGATCTCTAAGTTGTACTGTTATAAGTAGAACATCAATTTTTGGTTTTCTATGAGGTGTGAAAAGCTCAGATGCTTCCAGCCATCTGTTTCCATCTCGATTTGCTAGTAATTATGTCCAGAACACCTCAAATGTATACAGTATTCAGCAGAACATTCAGTTGGGTACGCTGCCTGCCACCTAATATCTTACCATCTTAAAAAAATAAAAACAAAAATGAGAAGCCCAACAAAAACAGAAAAGAGTCTGTCAAGGGAGTAAGCTGGCACTGGGACCAGTTTATGAGAGAAAAAGCTTTTAAAGAGAACCTGAATTGTGGAGAATGTGTATTTCAACAACCATTCTGAACCAAAAGCCTGTGGCTGCAGCCTAGCCCCTCAGGGGCTGCTGAAATAGCACAAGAGCCGACCGGGAATTTTCCAGGGAAACTGTCAGGAAATGCAGCTCATCAGAGAGAGAAGTGGAGTGACTCTGGGCTTGACAACTCCTTTGCAGAGTACAGCTGGGTGTTGTGATAGACACATCCCTCGTGCCTCGCCGGCTTGTGTGACAGGCTGCTAGTGACCCAGGGCATCTCGTGCCAAGGAATACGGCACAGCCCCATGGTGAAGGTTGCCCAATGCTGCCACTTGCTAGCCAAGATTGTCAGGCTATGGATGTCTAGTGCTCAGCTAGAGACCTAAGCGACCTTGGCACTTCCAGATTCCCCACTATGCAGCCAGAAGTTTGGGGTCATAAGCTGCTTTTTGTACTAGTTACTAGTTTTAAATGCCTCAAAGAATCTACCGGTTCTTCTATCTCCAAGCACTTTTAAAGGAAGGCGCTAAAGATGCCCTTCCTTTATGATTGGTTATTTGAATTAAGCAGTAGGCAGGCCACAATCTCCATAGTCTATTCAGAATTTAGCCATGTGGGAGAAATGAAGTGTGTTAGGTTGTGGAACGCTTTGCTTGTCTGTTGTTTTTTTAAGAAGGGGGAAAATGTGCTTCTTAGGAAAATTAAGGCTTGGCATTTCTATGGAAAGTCTGCTGTGCCAGCCACGGGACTTTCCAGTTCTCCCAGACAGAGGGTATTTAAGAGGAAGCTGAGAGCTGGAAAGTGATGCTCCTGGCATTTTATTTTACGTGGAAATAAAGCCTGCAACAAGTAAACATAGCAAATTCATATTTTAGCAGATGGGCAAATGTATTTGAAGAATTAATATGACCAAATGTGTGGCTGATTTGGATGTCATCCAGTTCTTATAAATTGCTGTGCAAAACTTACTAGCCAAGCTCCTTGTTCATCTTCAGCATAATGGAAATAGAAGCTTTTCCACCACCACCTCTCAGTTGAAAGATTATTCCGTGGCAGAGCGCACATATTCTTGCAGGTGAATATAAAGTGCTATGCAATCTAAAAATTCTGGGTGACTTGGATATCTTTGCTCTCAGAATGCTATAGTATATACTTTTTTAACTTAGCCAGAAAATTTTTTTTAGTCACCACTGAACTTTTAAGATTTAAAAAACAAACAAACAAACAAACAAACCACAAAATCTTCTCCTGCATTGAAACAAGAAGCCGTTCTGGAAGCCTCTTGCAAAATGTAATCTAAACAGAATCTTTGATTTGTTCATTTTTAATTGATTAATTGAATTCTTCTTGTTTCAATTTTAAAATTAATTTTTTTAAACTAAACAGAATGTTCATGTCTATATTTCTGTTCATTTTCCACTGAAATTACATTTTGTCACAAAGCAATTACCTGAGAAACAACCTTATCTTGGCTGTGATAGAAGATCATCCCTAAAGCTAGTGTTTTCTTATGTTAAGTTGTAGGTGAAAACTGGCAGCAAATGTTTGCAAATAGATGGTACCAGTTCATATATTTTGCTCCATTTCTCACACTTCTGCACTTATTCCCCTCCTTTATATTTACATACACATGATGAACTAGAAGAGAGAGTGTAAGCAAGTGAGACAGCTAGCAGCTATGTCTAAATCAACTCTATTTTTTGCGGTATTTTTGCAAAGACATGTACTGAGACTCCACACAAAGCAAACAGCAAAACCCTTGGGATGATATCTCAGGTCTTTAGACTGGTATCTGCAAGTAGGATAAAATAAAGAGTGCACAAATACATTGCTGCAAAAGTCAATGTTTACCTCGCAGGTTTTGATATGTTCCTGTTCCCACTCTGTCCTGACCTTATCCAGCTGCTCAATGTTCTGTTTGTACATGTTCTCTGTAAACACAGACACACATAATAGAAACCCAACAGTTAGGAAAAAAAATGAGACAGGCTTTCTCTTTTTCCTCCCATTAGGACTTTGCGGTGGTTCTTATACTTTAGGGCTGTGGTTTGCTAGAGTATCAAAAAAATATGTGAGCTTGAAACTGATGGGCTGCAAGGATATTTGGTTTTTTTCTTTGCAACTTCATACTAGAGTAAGGATTCTCTCTGCATGGTTTGCAGATCATCTGTAAACTTTACAGTGGGGATAATGCAAATCAGAGATGAAGAGCCTGGACTGTGCTTGGGCACTGAGCATCCTTAGGCTCCTTCCCTGCTGAGCCAGCCAGGTAAGCCATGTGGTTTAGCATAAACTTTTACATGAGCAGCAAGGGACAAGTCTGAACTCATGAACCTGCTCAGAAGTCTGCTGGCCTGTCCTTCTGACATAAACCGTGTTTCTGGCTGGAGAGTGCTGCCGTGCTCATGTACAGGGAACCTGGGGACTGTGTGTATCTGGTTTGGGCTGGCTGGGGATAATTTGAGTGTAATTCTTTTGTGCTTTCAAACTTGCTTCAAGAAGAGTTTTTCTCTTCTGGGTGAAGTCCCTAAAGGAGGTCTATAAATTCTTTAATGAAAGCAGGAGACTTGCGTTTCCACAGAGGAAAGTAAACGTAGATGACTATCAGGTTGACGTTCTTTAGAAGTTTCTTCATTAATCTTTGGGAAACCTGACTTCAAACAGAAATGGCCTGGATGATTTGGATGGTGCTCTATCAAAATCAGTGTACTGGTAGATCTTAGCTGAGAAAAATCTTAATTCCGTTGTAAATAGAGAATCACCTGCATCATTTGCTGCATCTCTGCATTGCTTGGCTTTGTTCTGACTCTGAAACAGGAAAAGAAACACCCCAAATTAATTTCTGACCATATATTTTGCTTCTGCCCCAGTTTTTTTGCTGCCTGCTCCCTTTCCCCTTCTAGGGGAAAAGCTCAAACTTGTGAACGTTTCATGGCTGTCCCATCTCTATGCACAGGTCTGTTGAAGAAGGGACCAGAATTTCACAGATGCAGCCCTAGGTCCACTGAGTTCAAGGGAAGTCTGGCATTTGCATCTTTTCTTTCAGACATCCGTGCCATAGGAGCTCAGTGCTAGCGTGATCCACTATGAAGCTTGTGTCTGCTGGCTGAGTTGTTTTTTTCTGCAGTGTTTGATGTGCTTTTCTAATAGATATTTATAAGCAGAAATAAATGGCATCTTCCAAGCTCTTCATGTAATACACAGATGAAAAGAATACAGCCTTTAAAATACTTTGCAAATGCCAGATTATTTCCCATAACAACTCAGAAGCCTAAAAGCAAAATTCACTCTAAGTAGAACTTTTCTTTTTTAAAAACCTGCAGCTTTTAATGATGCAAATACAGCTATTATTGACAGCTCTGTACTCCCAGGTCTTTCTGCACAGATGGTGATGACAGTACATTAATGCACAGCTCTAGACATCAGTGTAATACATTCTTCCATTCTGCCCTTCAAGACAAGGCTCAGGTAGGGGTTCTTATGACCATATTCCTCATTGCAGCTGGTTGGAAAATGTGTAGCAAGCTGAGAACATACGCTTCATTCTTATTTGCTTCCTGGCCCAAACTGTTTGCAAGTGCTGTGCAGAATTAAACAGCTGACATGTTTCATGTGAGATGCCTCTGTGCATTTCAAATGTGCTGGCATGTGTGTGGAAGCAATGGCAACGAAACACCCTGGGATCCTTCTGCATGAAAGGAGCTGGGTCAGGTTTTGATGCCACTGAAGTTTCTAAGTGTTTGGGCATAATTTCAGTAGGGCCAGGATTTCATCTCCCTCTTTGCTGCTGAGCTGGAGGGTTTTGTTCATCAAAGATTAGCGAATGCTGGAAATAAAACGTAAAGTTCTGATGCTGTTTTTAGTCTCCATCCCCCCGCTCCTTGAGATGATTTTTGATCCTTTTTGCTTACACTGCACTGATTTTTATCGAGCCAAAGGGAGTTCATTTATTTTGTTTTCTCCATCTGTTCCACTGTAAAATGTTCCCATTAAAAGTTAGTGAATTGTCAGCTACAAGTATCAAGACGATGCAATGAAGAACTGCAATGCCTTAATTTCCAATGATTTATTTTTGAGTTTGTAAATTTAGTTGAAAGTAAACTAACCATAAGGAGAAGAATGTTGAGGAAAAATATGCATTTTAATGTAAGATACTATGCCTACTAAATGTAAGTGACCAAAAGGCAACTCTAACTGCATGACATACTTCTGACTCATTTCTTTTTTACGAATAATTTCAGAGAAAAATCTCATTCAGCTTCCCTTCAGGATTCATGGAGCAATTAGATCATAGCCTGGGATAAATTAATTGGATAACTTAGTCCCTTCCCAGCCTTTTTAAAAACCTTTGGCCTATCACAGAACAAGATTGGGGTACCCAAAGAGTTTGTGAAGGAAGACCTCCTTGGAAAGGTGCTTTGTTTTAATTTTTATTCTAAGGGGTTAATTAGAAAAGAAAGCAGCCCCTGACATCCCACAGAATGGGTTGTTCAATTGTATTTTCTTGTACCTTGAAAAGGAAAAAAACCCACAGTTTTATCTCTAAATATCACTGTCATCTAAGGTACCTTTTCTGTTTGCTTTTGGTTGCCTGAAGCACTTGTCCGTTCAAAGAACTGCTCGGCCTCATCCGCTTCCTTGCACTTCTGCTCATAGGTCTTCTTTGACTGTATTGAAATGAAATCAAATGCGAGGGTTTGGGTTAGAGAACAAGCTAGGTTGTCTCCAGCATGATGGTCTAGCCATTTTATGTTTTGTAGTATGGGGGAGCAAATCAGTGCCCAGGTTTGGTCAACAGGAAAAATTCCCCATGATGCCACAAGGATATAGAAAAATAGGACTGAAAAATTGGGGTTAGGGGCTGGCAGCATAAATCAGCTCCTTTTCTTGCAACCCTGAAATGGTGTGGTTCATACAATTGCAGCCAGCTCCCCGCAGGGGTGGTCACGAATACACAGGCAGCTCTATTACTGTGGGTGCCTCGGGCGTCCGTCCAAGCTACAGTGTAGAGACAAAATTAGGAGCCCACATTCCCCGGGTGCCAGTGGGGATGGGTTGTTGTTTCTACAGTGTGACTTGGAGCATCAGGTGGATGAAGCCAGTGTGTTGCCTTGCCCATTGCTCCAAGCTGTGAGACAGAGCCAGCACCCCATAGGTAACAGTCTCGGTGTAATCTTCAGAAGCAAAAGAAATCCTTATTTGCACCAGAAGACCTCCCTGTATTGGAGGTTCACTTAGAACAACCAATTCTAAATGAAAATTGTTAGTACAGTTCCAGCTGTAGCACTGAGAGGTCTGCAACTAGTTTTCTTTAGAGGCAATCGCCCACTGGAAACCAAAACCAGCTGCCTGCAGTTCCTGTACCTGCAAGCTTTCCAGTTGGAGAGGTTTCCCCTTGTTTACAAGATCACCTCACTGTTTTTAAAATTGTATTTACACAGACTGAAAGATTACATTTGTTTGTGTAAGTATCCTTGCCTAGAAAGAATTAAATCCTGTTTGACCCTGGGGCGTTGTTCATTCCTCATTAACTTTCTGAGTATTTGTTTTGGAGAGCCTTCAGTGCGTGCAGCAGGGAAGATTAACTTCCTCCTCGTAGCTGGAACCGCATCCTCCCTCTCTTTCAAACACTCTCGCACACTCGCACATTCTTGACCTGTCTTTAAATATAGGTATTTGTGATAGAGATTTTACCCTGTCTCAAACAGGAGCCAGTCTGCATCGAGAAACCTGCACAAAACCTCCTTGCTTACCTCCATTGTTTTCTTATAATGGGACAATTTGCTCTTCTGCATACGCTCCATTGCAGACTCATACTGTAAGAAACACACAGAAGTAAGCATTTCTTCCTTTGGACTTCCTCTCCTTTTTAGTGGCAGGACTAGGAAAGCTGTTGTCAGGACCTTTCTATAAGCCACATGCCTCTGGGGACAATGACTTTGCTCTGCTTTTATAAATGATAGGTTTCTAAATGATACAAAGATGGCAGGTAAAAAAATAATCCAAGATAATTTGGCTTTGGTGGTTTCTATTAATACCAGAGGGGATGTAGATCTTCATTTTGTTCCTCCTTTTTTTTTTTTCCTTAAAGAGATTAAATAACATAACACCCAGTCACAGTGCCCATCAGTTCTGCCAGCAGAGTTCCTTTGCTGGTGCAAGAACTTGAACCCACATCTTTGCAGACCAAACCACTGTCTCACCAATGTTAGCAAGGGTAGTTGTCCATTTTATACACAAACATGTCCTGTGTAATTTATATTCCATTGCTTCTGGCAAATTTATGCTCAGTATGATTTGATTTCCGTACCGTCATCTGGTCAGCATTGGAAAAACCGTGCTGAATTCTCTTTTATGGCTTTAGTTGTGATATGCCCAGCCTTATGTGACAGTGAGATATGCTCCTACTTGGCAGGGTGTGGGTTTCTTCACTGGCACTTTTGGTCCTTGGATCTTTGTATTTTGCTCAAGCAAAACTCTGGGGCTACCCAGAGGCTTGCTCCACGTTGGGCTAAATAGCACAGTCCTGAGAGCAGCTACAGTGAAACACAAATCACAGCATTTTGGGAGGTTACCAAAAATGCTGACACTGTCTAGCATGTCTAATGTTAACTTCCTCACAGCCACATGCTGAACAGAGAAAAAAAGCTTGCCTGAGACTCAAAAGCAGTTTTTCCCTTTTTTCCAGGCCCCTCTAACTATTTTCAGTCAAGTTACAGGCTTATTGTTTTCAACAGGAGAGAGAACCTCTCTCTTTGCAAATCCTAGCGGCAAAGTGTGTGTATGGGGAGATGCGGTGCTGATGAACTAGGTGCACACTGTGTGTCTTTATATGCCTTATTTGTTTCATCAGGTCACTGTGGAACTCAAACCTCAGTAGCAGCATTGGTTTTACCTACTTTCATATTATGAGTTCTTTGCTATTCCAAGTTCCTGTGTGTCAGGGTTGTAAACACAAGATTTTTGTGGCATTGGATACTGGTTATATGCATTTTCATTTGTTTAAAATTAGCAAAGAACTGCATGTTTTATTTTGCTCCTCCATCAATCAGTGCTTTCAGTGTTAGTTGCCTGTCCCATTTTTGTCTTCAACCCCATGGAACCAGAGGAGGTATAAGAATGACCACTGTTGTCTCTATTGAGAGCTACTTTTACAGTGGACTTAGAGATTGGTAATATCATAGGGGATGAAGTGGCCTTAAACATCCTCAAATTTTTATTATACGACATCAACTAGATGCTATTTATTCCATGTGTTTGTAATTCAGCATATATTGGTGTTGCATTCAGCATGATATTCATTTGCTTTTATGTTTTTAAATGTTTGTGTTATCCCTTTGTTTTAGTGCATGTTGGAGCGTCACGCAGGATCATACCAAGGAAACCCAATTAGCGAGGGTACAAAAAGAGAAAAGGACAGATTACATTCTGACAGGAGTAATAATAGTATCTGCAGTTACACTGGAGACAGTAAAAGTCACTAAAGGCTGTGTCTCCTGAGTTCAGAGCACTACCTTATTCCCAGCTGGGATCAGAAAGAGTTTTTCTTCCACAGTCTAGTATATAGAGTGAACAGGGCACATGGGGCATGTTTGATCATATTTTGCAGTATTCACAGCCTGTGGCTGGAGAGACAGGTCATCAGCATGGATCATTGACCCAATCTATTTCAACATTTCTCTAGTTCCTCACCTTCTTTCTTTGTTCCTTCTGTCTTTCTCGGAACTCCTCTATTCCTTTCAGTTCATCCTTCAGCATTACTGCCAGCTGGATATGAGAGTTTCCAACACTTTCGATTTCTAAAGCAAATCAAAATTTATGTACAGTCAGTGGAAAGGTCCTTTAACTGTGAAGTCACATTTTTCAGGAGATATTTCTGGGATGTGGCTGCCGTGACTTGTCATGAGCAGGGCAGCCTTAAAAAAAGGCCTCCCTATGTTTCTGCATGTGCTGACATTGCCAAGGGTTCACACAACCCGAATAGGGTTTATTGCAGGTCCTCCCAGTGCCTGCAAAACACACGGGCAAGACTCCTCACTGCAGAGTTGGAGCACCCACTCAGGGCAGCCTTGGCAAGCATGGAGCTGGCTGCATCTCTTCATAGCACCATTTACCCCAGCCACCCCCCTTTCCTTCTGGGGCTGGAGGTCAGATGTTGTGGTACAGAGGGAGGGAAGGAGCTCTGACCTCCATCATCACCTCCTGTCTCTGCTTTCCCTCCACTATGCTGCTGGATTGTCACTGCTCTTGGGACCTGCCCGCCAGTTGTGTCCAGCCTTGCACAAATATCATTAGATGAGGTTACAAGCTGAGTATTTCCAAGGGTCAGCAAAGATGGATTGAATTTCAGAGCACCTGGCCAATGCTGTTTGAAGTGGCTGGTAACTTCTCTGCATTTGTTGGCTTTGGTGCCTCTGAAATGGAACCCCACATTTTCTAGAAATGTTGAGCTCCCCTACCCAGGCTCTAAAAATACCTTAATTCACCAGCTGCTTTTCAAAAGAATGTTTTTATCTAAACTGCAGGCGCCAGGTACTCTGTCCTGTTGGCTATGATGGTGTTGCCTTTTCTGTGCGTGGAAGGTTTTCGTTCAGCCTTGGGCACATTTAGAAATCATGCTGTTTTAATGTCAGTGGTTTGCAGAAGAGGGAACAGAGCTGATATTTTGTGACTTGACTGAGACAAAACTCACTTGAGGAACATGCTATTTTCTTTGCCACCGGAGAGCGGATTGAGTGCCCAGCCTTGGAGGACTCCCAGTGAGTGTCCTTTCCCTCTACTCTCCACACTACAGACTGGGATAGAAAAGTTGGAAATAGAAGGGGGAAGAGGAAGAAGGGCCCCAGGGGGAATAAATACATTCTGTGCCTGTCTTACCCAAGTCAGAAAGGAAGATGTATATACTTACGTTGCTTGAGCCTCTCAAATGCTGCCTTCAGTGTGCTGTGAGGCAGAAACAAGAGCACTTTATTAGTATAGGCTTCTAAAGATGGGTTGTGAATCTAGAGTAAAAACTTTTCCTTCAAGTCTCAAAGATCCACAGAGAGGTAAAATTCTTGATAGTCTTGTAATAAAAGTTGACCATGCTAACAAGCACAAAAGCATCAATCTGTTACCATTAGGAAATGCAATAAAATGCTCCATGAAGCAAGGCATTGCTCTTATTCCTTATGTGCACCCTCTTTTTTAATCTCACTGTATTTGTGACTGTGAATGATAACAGCCATTTCTCTATTCTTGCACCTTGCCAATGGATCTAAGTTAACCGAATGAAGTAAAGACAGTCCAGGGAAATTGGGTTTTGGAGCACTAGTCTGAAAGGTAGAGTGAAACCAGGTCCACACTGTGTACTGAATGCAGCACCAGCAAATTTTTCCTCCTCAGTCACCCTTGAAGCTAGAGCAGCTCTGCTGTGCAGCATCCTCCATACTATGTTTTCCGAGCACCCCCGTGTGGTACAGCTCACTCTCCTTTAAAAGACTCACAGTGCAGAGAGCCTACAGAGGCTTTGAAACCCTGATGCTCCCCAGAGGCACAGCACGAATAAACCGAATAAACCTTGCTGTGAAATCAGGCCTCAATTCTGGGCTGTGAAGTACAGCATGGAGATGAGCAAAAAAAGATGTTCTGCTGCTCGCCTGGATGAACCTACATGACTACGTGGTCCTACAATGTGGAGTTGGAGAAGGGCACAAAAGGGTAATGATAGATTGCCTGGTGTCCTGTTTTTTTGGCAAGCCAGAGTTCATTTCAAGAAAGTACCAGAGATATCAGTGTAGAAGTGATGGGAGAGTCTGTAAAAGGCATTTTCAACTTAATAATTTCCACTAGCTCCAAGTTTGCAGGCTGGCAGGGCATTTAAATCAGGGCTGTGGAGTGATTTGAAGGTTTTTCAGATTTAGAAATCATCTCTTCAAGACCTGGAATGTGTTGTTCCCTGAAGGAAACAGTTCTGGGAACTCCATGGAGCCCTGGTCTACCCCAGGTGGGAGCTCCAGGGAAAAGCCTGTTAATGAAGACCCTAAAGCCTCCCTGGCTGAAGCCTGGCTACTAGGAGAGCCCAGAAGAGGATGCCTATCACTTTCCAGCCATGTGCGACTGCAGATGGGTTGGGAAATCCTGTATCTCTTGGGCCGTTTCAAGAATCTTAAGAGACACATGAAGAATCCTAAATGCCCTGTGTTAATTTAGGCTGGACATCTGTTTCCTAATCAAAACTTGCTCTCCCGGTAGCAAGGTTGCCTTGCCAGGCATAAGAAAAATGCACAGGCAAGGGGAAAGGCTGGGCCTGTCCTCAGCATTAACTGCTTTGCAATTCACTTCCAAATCTAAATTTGTAGAAATATATGGAAAAGACTTTCAGCCAGAAGAGATGAGTATTGAGCTAACTGTTTGATTCTTCAGCTTTCAAATAGATTTGTTGTGGTGAATCTCCTGGGATGAGTCAGGGAAAACATGCTAGATTGAGTCTTTTTCAGTATTGTCTTAATAATATTTTAACATTTTGAAGGTTCATTTTGCAAAAAATGAGTCAGGTGTGAAATTTTGTTAGAAACTAAATTTTTACAACACAAAGGAAACAAACTGTATTCTTTCCAGCTAAGTTAATCAAAAGCTTGAAATTAAAAGACAAGCAGAGATAGCTTTTTTTTTTTTTTCACCTAAAAGCTCTAATGGATTATTTTGAGAAATTAAATATATACAAGGAATTGAATTTGCTTTTTTGGTGTGGATTTTCCAATAGGAGGTAGGGAATGTGCTAAGAACTTCATGCGTGAAATAAGTAAATACTGGAATTTTAAAAATAGAACACACTTGCAAACTGCACATACTGTGTGCATGCTGTGTTGATCTATTGTTCCCAGAGATTTTTTTCCTTTGCTTTTGGTGATTCAGGTTATGCAAAGGCTGGCAAGATTGCTCTAGTGGATACTGAAAAATAGAGCTTTCTCAGTACATATCAAGGACAAAAGCAATTTGCTGCCAGGCATCTGAGCTACCAGAGTTCATGATCATAAGCCATACATGAAGCCTTTTTCCTTTTTGCTGACTCTCTGTAAGAACAAGTGTGTCTTCTGGTATAATAATGCATCTAGCTATGACCTGGAGAGAAACCATTTTGCTCCCTGCATGCTCTCTAATGGCCTTTTCAGAAAGCTCTGGCATTTTGCTGCTTGTATGAAAGATTTGCCCAGCCAGTTCCCTAGCTGCTGACTGGGGCAAGGACACAGTCCATAAGTATATTAAAATAAACTTAAGCCATTTCCTTCCTTATTTTTATAATTATTTTCTAAAATCAGTGAATCAAATCCCTCATCCTTATGGGGCTTAAGGGAGTAGCAAATATACCATTGTGCCAACCTATCTGTGGGAGAGAATAAATAAATCAAATTTTGACCCAGGGTTCAATCAGGTATTCCTTTATGACTTCTGAGCTGTGGGGATGTGCTGGCTGCAGCAGCAGCTCTATAAATTAGCTCCTCATTGCTGTTAGATGCTCTGTTTATATTGGTGAAATACATAATATCAGTGCTTTTGAGGTTTTAATGGAAGCAGCTCATGTAGCCAACACACAAGTGAGTTTTAATTTTATCTGTGCCATTTTGTATGTACAGTACCTATTATCTACTACTTCTGGATGGGTTTGACTTGCTAATAGGATTGATAAGGGCTTTATTCTGAAGTATCCAAAGTGAGGATGTCGCACTCTCATGGACACTTTAAATGAATGTTTTAGCCTCTCAGTATATCACGCTGCTTAGCATTGCAGTAGCAATTGATTTTGTTTGTTTATTCTGTGACCAAATTAGAAAACCTGGAGTTGAAAATAATTCAAGTCAAACTGAAAATTTGTGATTTGCCTCTTTCCTCTTTTGTTTTGTTTTTGGTTTTTGGTTTTTGTTTTTTTTTAATTGCTTGCTTCTGCCATTTCCATGTAAATTCTGGAAGACTGTTAAACCGCTCCAGCTGAAGGCAGAGCACCAACCTTCCCTTTGGACATCCCTACGGGGAGCCTCCTGCAGATGTCCCACTGAAAATAGGGCTGGACACAAATTTACTGTGCATGTTTCTTACATGCCTCCTCCTTGGGCATTTAAAGATTGGTTTTGTCAAAATGAATTTCTGGCGGAAACAAGATTGGCTCTGAATCCGAAATAGCCGGGGATAGAACCCGTGCAACAGCCTCTCTGCAGCAACTTCTGGTGATTTTTGCCATCTAGTGGCTAAAATATGCTTACCGTTTTCTGCACTACCGGCCCTGGCTGCTGCCCTTCATTTGGTGGAGTCTCCTGCTACTCGAGTACAGAGGAATTGAGCTGCTCTTGTAAAATATGCACGTTTCAGTGTTTGTTTTTTTCAGGTGGAGGGGGGAGGAGAATAGCAGAACTTTTAGAGGAACAGGGGAGCCAAGGGGAGAAGCTCAATACAATAAAGCTCACCCATTATTTAGCATTCTTGCTCTGTAGATTGCAAAATACTTTCCAAAGTGAATTTATCCAAATTCACCCAGCACACCACAGCTGGAAAGGTTACCCTGCCTTTAGGGCACTGACGACTAGTCCCTATGGCTCTTTTTTAGCAGGATAAACATTTACAGAATGCATAGTTTGAGAGTTTGGCTTGATTTTTCTCCCAGCAGAACCTGTCCCCTGCTTTCAAGGCAGAAAATACATCCTATATTTGAGCAGAGATACCTTGTTTGCCACTCACCCACTATTGCCATACATGTATGAGGAGTAGTGGGGAACAGCTGCAACTGTTCCTAAATCCATTTTACTCACTGTGCAAAATTATCTCATGATTGATTCAGCAGGGGGACTCGATTGGAACAGTGGGGCATGATAACACTTCAAAGTGAACTTTCCTAGCTACTCTCTGTCTTTGCTCTTTCTCTCTCTTAATTTTTGGACCTTGTTTTTGCTAGAGAACTGGGCTGTTGCTGGAGAGCAGGCTGTGCTAGGCAATCCTGTGTGACACGAGGACCACCAGAAAATGTGCTGTGGATAGGGCTCTGGTACCTTCTGCTTCACTGCTGAATTTTATAGCACCATAAATGTAATTAGCAGAGCTGTATCAGTGCTATCAGTGGCAGTACTTATGCCACAGTTGCACCACGTGCTGCTTTTTTTTTTTTTTTTTTTTCAACATTAGGCTTGACAGTTAGGTCATTTTTTCAGTACTTTGCCTTTAGAGACCAGTTTAACTGACTAATTCAGAGAGTCCCTTTACATCTCATACACAGGAAGGTAAAACAGGCTCTTCTAACCGGAAAACCACAGCTCTTTTTAAATTTTCTTTCCTTCTACCTTTGCTTGGTGAATAGAAGTGAAAACACCCCACCTTCCTTTCTGGTAGGTTTCCATTTTAACATCAATATGATATACAACGTTCTGTTCTTATTGTAATTTTTTTAAACTATCCTTTCTGAAATTGAGAGAAGTCTCTGTCAGATGAACTCTACAGACCACTTTGCAGCAGTCCTATTCACTCTCTGCCTCCAGTAGCTTAGATCCTGGTAACATGGTTATGAAACCAACCCAATGCCAGTCTCCTCTGGGGCCAGAGAAAGACATCTGTCTTTTCTCCTGCACACAGGGAAGATGAAATGTGGTTTTACCAATATTTCTTTCTGTGAAGCCCAGCGGTGGTAGCAAAGTGTGGGGAAACTAGTTCAGAAACTTCTGGTCTCAAATAATTTGCACCTGGGACTCTGGCTGCATTGCAAAAAAGAAAAAGAGGAGGTGTTGTGCTCTTTTAAGAGAGGTAGCAAAGTCACTACTAAGTCTGAGGCCAGGCACATTTCGTGTGAGAATAGTGTTTGATGTTGCTTAGTGGGGATGTGGTGAAAATATCAAAGACTTAATTTTGCCAGGATGTTTTCTTCTTGTTTTCAGAGGAGCTATAAACAGACAGGCAAAACCATTCAGTGCAACTGGAAAGAT